AGGTCTCGCCAGAGGCCTTGAAGATTTAGTCAGGCAAAGTCAGGGGAAGGCCTAAGATTTAAGAATTCAGGCGGACAGAAAGATATAGATTTGTGTGTGTGTGCATGTGTGCATGTGTGTGTTAAAATAAACATAAGATTTACCATTTTAGTCATTTTTAAGTGGACAGTTCAGTGGCATTACATACATTCACATTATTGTGCAGCCATCACCACATTTATCTCTGCAAATTTTTCTTCTTCCCAAACTGAAACTCTGTGCCCATTAAACAGTAGCTCCCCGTTTCCTGCTCCTCCCGGGCCCTGGTAACCACCACTCAACTTTCTGTCTTTAAGAGTTTGATGTCTCTAGGTAACTCAGATAAGGGGAATCACACAGTATTTGTCCTTCTGCGTCTGGCTGATTTCACTTAGCATCATGTCCTCAAGGTTCATCCATGTTATATTGTGAATCAGAATTTCCTTCCTTTCTAAGGCTAGATAATATTGCATTGTAGATATGCAGCACATTTTGTTTATCCATTCATCCTCAGTGGACACTTGGATTGCTTCCAACTTTGGCTATTGTGAATAATGCTGCTATGAACATGGGTGTACAAATATGTTTGGTGCTGATAACACCAAGGTCCAGGGTTTAATCCCTGTACCAGCTAGCTGTCAAACAAAAACAAAAAAAAAAACAAAAAACCCCCCACAAATATCTGTTTCAGTCTCTGCTTTTTTTTTTTTTTAAAGAGAGAAAAGACTGTGTGGAGCTTGTGTGGCCCCTTCCTGAGTTTGTGGCTGTGAGTGAAGGTTGACTTTGGAGTCAAGGCCTTGGTTCTACTTCTCACTGCCACAGACTAGCTGGGTCCCTGGAGCACGCCACACACCATTCTGGGTCACGTCTCTCCACCTGTGAGCAAAGGGAGTCCCTTGCCCCTCTCAGGCTCTGCCCCTTGGGTGACTACATGTGGGACGTTCTGTACCCAGCCTTGGCACACTCAGCCGCTCCTGGAATTAGGAGCCGAGTGGACCCTTGGTGTGAGTAGATTTAACATTCACACTTTCTTGAGCAACCCTGAACACCCACGGTGTCCAGAAACCTGTCATTTTGCTGAGATGTGAACTTGAACTTCATACATGGTCAGGGCGATGTGTGGGAGCGACTCCCTCGTGGGTGTGCCCAGCTGGCCAGCTTTGCAGTGTCGCCTCTCTGCAGGCGTGTCGGCTGCTGCTCGTCCTTTCTTATGAAGTGACTTTTATGAAGTGGTAGGACTTTGGTGACTGTGTGTGTGTGAAAGTGCCTCCAAGAAGAGAGCTAACTGCTGGGGCTAGTAATGGAAGTAAAAGAAAGTGGGGGAGCCTAAGAAACCGATAGTTCTTACTGAATAGATTAAAAAGTGGCCCGTCTACTCCACAGTAGCTCTGCGGAGCAAACTGCCTCTGTACACATTCTCTACAGAAATAAGACAAACCTTGTGAAATCTCGGTGAGTGTGTCAGCCAGCAGAAAACGTCCTCACTGAGAGAGGAAACTTGAGAGAAGTCTGAGAAAGTGGCCCAGGAAGAGAGGCTGGAGGCTATACCGACACTTGCAGGAAGTATGCAGGGCGAAGGTACCAGCGTGGCACTAAACCAACCTTATTTTCAAGTAAGGGCTGGCTTGAACGTTGTAAAATGTGTTTTTCTTGCAAAAGTTGCAGTTAATAGGGATAAGCAGGCCAGCTCTCTGTCTCACAGCAGACACGATTCTTCCTATGCTAGAGCAGGTCATGGGAGAACACAGGCACAAGTCCCAGGCTGTGAGTGTGGCAGGGCACGAGGAGGTGTCCCCCTTCACAGGCTGGTCTGAAAGTCATGTGGAGAGGCAATCAGATAGTAAGGAGAGAAGCTGATCAAAGGAGGCTTTGAATTGCTGGTCAAAAGGGCAAAGGAGATACAGACAATGGTGAAGAAATGAAAGAGGCAAGCTGAGTCCTTCATGAATTCAGTGAATCGTTCCATTGTGCCAAGCTGTCCACACAGCAAACATCTACCTACCAGTGGAATGGAGCCTTTTCCAGCAATTCCAAGAAGGGCATCTCCATTGGCACCATCCCAGGAAATGTTTAAGAAGTTGAGAAAGAAAAGAAGGATTAACAAGATAGTTAACTTTGGTCAAGACTAAGGAAGGGGCCGGCCCGGTGGCGCACTGGATAGTGCGCCGCTTGGGAAGCGCGGCGGCGCTCCCGTCCGAGGGTT